GGGTTTAGGGTTTAGGGGCGAAGCCATCCTTGGAGTACTATGGAGGTCGGAATGGTTATGAATAGTGTTCCTTTATATTCAGTTTTGAGATCCCACTCGCCAAAACCTTAGCCTGTGGGACTTCAAAGGATCTGTAACTTTGGGTTTAGAGGGATTTTCAGCCGTCAGCTCTCCTTAAACGATGAGCAGCCACAGGCCCCTGGAGTTAAGGTTAGGGTTGAGGGCTCCTCTCCTCCAAACCTTTGGTGAAACAACCCGTGCACCTGAAATTAACCCTAAACCCTAAACCCTAAACCCTAAACCTGAAATTATTGTAGAGGCAGTTGGGAGGTTTTCTTTTCACCTGCTGGAGACTCCTTTCCTCCAGCTCTTTGGGTCAATTAACCAGGGCCCAAAAGGGGTGAGGAGATTGGTTGAGGAATTCAAGATTCTTCAGAGTGTAGTATGTTCTGGATCATCGTGTTCGATTCGGGTCACGGACCTGTAGTTTGGAGGGTTTCGTTATGAAGTGTCTCCGTGTCAGTACGTAGTTAGTAGTAGGTCACACTTCACCCGTTGCCAGGGTCGGACGACCCGGTAAAACTTCAGAAAGGCACGCGGTCGTGTTGAGGACACCTTGCAGATCAGCTTAATTCTGACTCAGCAATCATGTTGTGTCATTGGTATCCGGTCCACGGGCACATGCCTCCCAAGGCCATCTTTGTCCAAGCTTCCGGGCCAAGGAATACTAAGGGCATGCACCCAGAGAGCCCAATACCCCTTAAATAAGGGATATATCTTGAATTATAGGGGCCTTAATATTATGATTGAAGGTATATTCCCTGATTAAGGGGTATTGGGCTCTCTGGGCAGGGCTCTATTCCTGGAATTCCGAGGCCATCTCTTTTTCTGGAGTAACAAGCTCATGGGCTTCGTTGTGATCAAGTCTCACCTGGCTACGTTGGAGAAAGCCTTCCAGAAACCTCTCGGTGGGGCGCCCGAACAAATCGCCGATGATGGCAACTTCAGTCTTTGGATGCTTCCGGAATGAGGGTGTGGGCGGTATTTCGTGGCTTTTGAGGCTGTTGCCATAACCAGTAGTGTCAGTAGTGCTGCAGTCGCAGAGTGGGAACATGGGGTTGCTGTGTCGTCACACCTGCACATCTTAGGTCGTGGTTGCGGTAAACCGACAGACGCCCAGTTGACGTAGCATGACCTGAGCATGACGTCATATTCACCCAATTATACCTCCGATGGCAATCTCAAAGCGACCGAAGGCAAAGTCCCACCGACGGACACCCAAGAAGACGCTAAACCCCAAACCCTAACTTGGGATATTTGGATGCCGATTTGGTTGGAGCTTGTCACGGTGCCCTATCAGGTTCTCGAGTTCTCGACGTGCTTCTGCTGCTCTTTGGGCTTTCGGTGATCGCTGCTACCGTCCTGTATGTGCCTTGGCAGGGTGGTGGGCGCACATCACGGGACATGAACCTGTGGTCGTTGTTGCAGTCCTTGTAGGATGCCGATAGACCGTCATGCTAGTAGCAGTGGCGGTCGACGCAGTTTCATCGTAGATATCAGAACAGCAGCGGAGTAGAACAAGTACAGTCGCAGCTGAAGCAAGTGTTGTAGTGATTGTAGTGAGTGTAGTGCTGCCGTTGTCGACACTGCTGGCATTCCTGTCACGGGTGTTGCCGGCATCTTTGAAGAGCCGTCGCCCTAATTCCAGAACAGAGTGCAATGCACATCACGATCAAGTCATCGATGCCAAGTCGACCAATGACAGATGACTCAATGATATTTCCATGTCTACTGATCTAACACCTGCGCTCTTTCATCCAAGCTTCTCGCGTTACTCATGCAGTCGTGCCGCGGCTGTTGATATCTGTCACGAAAGAGTCGGTGAACTCGATGAGCACTGAACTGGCAAGTTTTGAGGTTTTCATACGGATTTTTTGCTGGTTGAGGGGGAGGACTATCTTTCTACATTTCCCTAATTTAAATGGGCCTTACAGACCGTTATCAGGTACATATTGGGATATTCACCCCCTAGCCCTCTGCTTTACCCGCCCAGGGTTCCTATCAGGTTTGGTTCCTGGCCGGCGGGGGCAAACGCCACCTCCTGATCCTGGGTGTGGCCTGCATTGAAGGAGGTGTCGTGGTGCCTTGGCAATTCGTGACTGTGATCATAGTAGAATATACCCCAAGGCCCAATACGGCATCCGGGAGCCTTGATATCCCAACACTTAGGTGAATCCACCTTCATGAAAGACTTGCACACTCCATGGGTTTTAGGGTTTAGGGTTTTAGGGTTTAGGGTTTAGGCGTCGTGATGATTTGGCTTGATCTTCAGGATGTTTTTTCTGGGAAGGGACCACTGCTTCGGGGGCTCAGGGTTAGAAAGCCTGGCAGTCCACAGTCCTGAACTCGACACACTAAATAAGGTTTAGTCCCTAAGCATTAAAATTTAGCACTTTAATTCCGTAATATATATATATATATATCATATCGTATATACATATATATATATACACATTGTGTATCATATATACGTATTCATATGTGTTTGTTTTTCATTCCCTACAGAGCGCTAAACCCCCGGCCGGGCTCGCGGCATTCAGTGTTGCCAGAGTGATTATTCCAAATACGAGCTTGGGAGCGTGGGGCGTACGGAGTTATGGCTTGTCGCTCCCGCTCTCGATTTTAGGGTTTGTGTTTCGGGCTTATTTAATCCTCCCCGTCTCAACTTACTACAGCCTCTGCCGGAGCATCGCACGCCGGCAGGAGCCTGGTTCCTCCAGGCTGCGGCTAGACCCACGACTCTCTGGACCAACATCCTCAAACCTACAATCATCTACAACCCCCTCAAAACAGCCCCAAAGCCCTACTGTACGAGCGTCAAGCCACGATAGAAATGAATCAGACAGGGGGGTTTGGGTACCTTCGATCTGTGCCCTAAAGAAGCGAGGCCTCGACTCTCTTCGTTGCCATTCTGATGACCCGTGGCTCCCGGGCAGTAATAATATAGGCGCCTTACTAATTGGGGGGGGGGGGGGGGGGG